GGTATTTCCACTCTCTCTCTCTCTCCTCTCTCTGTTAAAATAGCACATGCTAGAGGAGTTGATTTTACCTGTTCTCTTTCTTCTTACAAAAATGTGCACTTGCACTTATCCTTAAGTGTGCACTTTCAATAATTTTCGGTTGGACAGATTTACAGGAGAGCAACAGTTGCTTATGGAGCTCTATCAACTAGGTTAGGGGATCAGTTCTTTTTATTTGAGAGCAGGTGACTACAACATATGCTGTTTTAATTTTTGTTTACTTCACTAGATATTAAACACTCGAAGCAACTTTCAAAGCCTTAAATTCGCTTTAATGAGATGACAAATAAAATTAATGTGCTCTGGGGTTACAGGCCAACGAGTTTGGATGCAGTTTTCCTTGGGCATGCACTTTTTGTACTTCACGCACTACCTGTGAGTACCTTTATTGACGGCATCATTTTGATGATCTTTGTTAAAGATGATTGTGGTTTATTATGTTGTATTCATGCTAAAGTTGTATCTTATGGTATATATATGCATGAAAAAATAAACAAATTTTCCCTTCTCTTTTCCATATTGGTTAGAGTTGATTGGTCCTTTCTTAAAACAAATAAATCAGTTAGAGTTGACTGGTACTTGTTTCTACGTTGTTACACAAAATTGATATTAGCTAGAAATAGAACACTGGTTATGAGCACAGATTGCATAAAATCTGGTGCCTTGAGATGTTAAAAGGCGCATGCTTGAATAGTAAGATTTCCATGAAAGTCAAAGATTGATTCCCAATTGTTACCAACTGGTGAAGAGATTTGGGAATGGACTTCAAATGTTTGTCCCTTGCTGCCACTTTGTGAAGTGTTCAGTCCTTCAGGCAGTCACGCTCGAAAAGATTCATAAAAAATACTACAAGCACTGAATCGTTTTGCCATCACTTTCTTTTGTGGGCATTAGAATTCCTATCTGCATCAACTGACTAAATTCCAAGAGTATTCCGTGCTCAAAATGAAAACCACTAGGTCAGCAAAACAGTGTCATATCTGTCGAGTCTATAATTCTACCATGTTTGCCTATTTCATATCGACTCAGGTATGTTATTTTGGTTTTTGGGTTTCTTCTAACTGTTTCAACGCCTTGTGCCGGCCTCTAAAGTTAAGAATAACGTTGGTTGAAAAGTGGGTTTAAGAGTTAGGATAAATTAAAAGGGTAACAACTCTGCACATGACATATGTATTATACAGTGCATATTACAATACAACTATATGTAATCAGATACACTATGCTTAAAAGATACTCCAATATGGGATGTAGTGACCAATTCCCATACTGTTTGGTGTTAGTTTTTCACCTTGAATTGAGTTATTAAAGGATGACAATGTTTAACTTAATGTCACTAATAGGAACACATCAGTTCTGCGGAGCAAGCTTGTGGAGCATTGTCTAAATTAGTACACAATAATGCTGATAAACTTAAGATGGGTTTCCATAAGAACGGTGGTTCATCCTCTTCTACTCCACCATTCCCGGCAGATCCATCGTCATCATTTCAAAAAGATGGGGAGGTCTTCAAATTGGTGTAATATACTTTTGGCTTTTCACTCATGGATCTCTTTCATTGGTTATTTCTGTGGTGTTGAATTTCGCGTATGTTCTATTGACACTATATAAATTAGACTACGAGTTTTATGTGTCAGTTTAAGTGTTTAAGGTTTTTTATGTTTTTTTTTTTTGCTGCCTAAAATAGAAAATGCCATTGGTAAACATTGCTTCAATCATTCTGGCTGAGGGTAACAAAGAATTGGTGGTAGAAAATTGGGGGCTCTTCTTTATTTCAATATCTCAGATATTTGCAAACTTTGCTTAGTTTTCTGAATTATGGTTGCTGGTTTGGTACATGATGAAGAAAGTGGATAGGTTTTTATGCTAATCTTGTTCAATTAGTTTGGCTTCTGGTATGGGCAAAAGGAATAAAAACTATGAATAATAATTGCCTTTCTTAGCCCTTTTGAGTGCCTGGATAATGTGATACGCAAATTAATTTGTTGGAAATTTGGTGA